CCCCCCCCCGTCGCGACCCCCCCCCCGCGACATACCCGTCGCGACCCCCTCCCATCGCGACCGCCCCCGTCGCGACTTCATCCGTCGCGCCCCTCCCCCCCGTCGCGACCCCCCCGTCGCGGACCGTCCTCGTCGCCCCCTTTCGTCGCGACCCCGCGTCGCGACCCCGTCGTGTCCCCCGTCGCGACCCCTCCGTGTCGACCCACCCGTAGCGACCCCCCCCGTCGCGCGCCCCCCCCGTCGCGACCCCCCCCCGTCGCGACCCCCCCGTCCCCCCGTCCGCGCCCCCTTGTCAAGACCTCCCTTTCCGCGACCCCCTCTCGCGACCCTCCCATCGCGACCCACCCCGTGAAGCCAAAAAACTTCCCATCGCGACCCTATCCGTCGCAACCGTCCCGTCCGCCCCATGCGAGCGACCCCTCGTCGCGACCCCGTCGCGACCCCCCGTCGCGACCTCCCCCGTCGCGACCCCCCCCGTTGCGATCTCTCCCTCGCGCAATTACCCCGTCGCGGACCCCCCGGTCGCGACCCCACCCTAGCGCACCCACCTTGTCGCGACCCCCCTGTCGCGAAACCCCCATCGGAACCCCCCCGTCGCGAAGCGTCGCGACCCGACCCCCCCCGTCGCCCCCCCGTCGCGACCGCCTCGTCGCGACCTCCCTTCGTCGCGACCCCCCTCGTCGCACCCCCTACCGTCGCGACCCTCCCCGTCGCGACCACCCGCGACCCCCCACGACGCGACCGCCCCCGTCACGTCCTTCCCAGTCTCGACCGCCCTCGTCGCGACCCTCCCCGTCGCGATCTTCGGTAGTCCCCTCCCCGGCGCGAACCTCTCCCACGCGTCGCGAACCCCCCCTGTCGCGACCCCCCCCTCGCTATCCATCCCGTCGCGAGCCTCCTGCGCGACCCGACCCCCCCCCGTCGCGACCCACGAGTCGCGAGGCCCCCGTCGCGACTCCCCCGTCGCGACCCCTCCGTCGCGACCTCTTTTTCGTCGCGGACCCCCTCGTCGCGACCCCTCCCACCTCTCCCGTCGCGATCCCCCGTGGCGACTCCCAAACCCTCCATCGCGACCCCCCCGTCTCGACCCCTACCTGCGTGGCCGCGCTTGCGTCTCGACCCCTCCCGTAGCGCTCTCCCCCGTCGCGACCCCTTCGACGCGGACCCCCCCCCCGTCGGACCCCCCCCCGTCGCGACCCTGCCCGTCGCGACCCGCCCCGTCGCGACTTCCCCGTCGCGACCCCCCCTCCTCGTCGCGACCCCCCCCGTCGCGCCCCCCCTTGAAGGGGGGGCTCCGTCGGAGGCCTCCGCGCGAGGGTCGGGGGCCTGCACCCAGGTCCCAGCGGGAGCCACCCCGCGAGCAGTCCACTGGCCACCCCGCCCGTGGCGCCTGGGCCCGTCGCGGCCCATCCCCCGTCGCGGCCCATCCCCCGTCGCGGCCCCCCCCGTGGCGACCTCCCTTCGGCGGGCCCGTCGGGTCGGGGCCACCTTGGATGCACCCCCCGTCGTCGTCGTCGGCGGCGGCGGCGGCGGCCCTCTCAGGAGAGGGCGGCGGGGGCAACGATTTCGAGGCGGATCCAGCCGTGGCCAGGAAAGCCCAAAGCGTCAACAAAAGGCCCCCCGAATCCCCAGGGGCCGAACCTCGCGGGGCCGCGGCCCTGTTCCTCGTTCCCTCCTCCTTGCTTCTCCCCCCTCCTCTTCCTCTTCTTCCCTCCTCTTCCTTCTCTCCTCCTCCTCCTCCTCCTCCTCCTCCTCCTTATTTTTGTTCAAACTGGGCCGTCGTTTACGCAGACGCGGCGCCCAACGTCGCTAATCGCACCGAACTGGACTGGTCGGACAAAATCTAACCAGACCGTCAATCGAACCGAAACGAACCAGCGGGACCGAACCGAACCGAAACCAGACCCATATCGATCCGGTGTCAAACCGAACCGGCCAAGCAAAACCGAACAGGCTGCAGAACCGGACCGAACCGAACCGAACCGATCCCTTCATGAATCAATGCATGAGATGTCTGGGGAGGAGGGGGGGGGGCTGCGCCCAGGATCTCCAGGGACCGTTTCGGCGCAATGGGCATCCCGAGAAGGCGAGGCGAGAACCGTTCGAAACTGAGTATGGCACATGAGGGACCTCAGAGGGGCCAAGACGGGCCCCAGCAGTGCCCCAAAGCACGCAAGAGCATCCCAAGAGAATCCTAGAAAGGTCCGACGAGCTTCCATTGTCCGCCGATCCCCGCTTGCCGGGGGTGAGCGGGCGCATGCGACATTTGGCTGCCCCCCTGTCGCCCCCCCTCGCCCAGGGTCCCAAATCCCGTTGCAGGCGGGGGAGGCGAGGGACGGGGGGGAGGCGGCGGGGCCACGTCCCAATGCCTCCTAATGCCTCCTCCGACGCCTGCAAAATGCTCCAGATCCCGAATCATTTTTCGAGGCCCTGGGGCCCAGCGAGGGCAGCTGGAGGCCGAGAACGACCAAAAACCTTCCGTCCTCCTATGTGGGGACGT